GGTGTACTGAAATATACTACTGAGGGGATCAGTGGGCCGGTCAGAAGTTTGCCATGCTATGTGGGTCACCTCTCAGGCTGGGGATCGAACTCATGATGCAGTGGCTGTGGAGAGCTTCATAGATTTCTGCTTTAACCAATTGCGCCACCAGGGAGGGCCCTGGAAAGAATATTTTAAATTGTAGACTCTGTGAAAGTTATATTTTGCTTCTGGCATTAAGGCAGCAAAGATACTTGCCAAGAGGGGATCCCAAGATGCTAATTGCCTCCATGAACACTAGATGCAGAAGCACATGCTGGAGCAGAGATCAGGACGTGTTAGTTTGGAAAAGTGACATGGGCGCAAATTCCGTATCTTCTTTATTCGCTCCATTCATTGAATATTTAGATGCAGATGAGCTGCAGCTCAGCCAGGAAGGGGCTGATTTTTTTGAGAGTTCCTGCTGGAGCTCACCTCCTAGCTGCCATGGGACTGACATGTCCTCGGTGCCCTATGAGTGGGAGCAAGTGAGCCAGGAGACACCAACTTATTTTTTTTTTTAAGTGTGTAACAGACCTTTAGGAAGTTTCACATAATTTCAGAATGCGCATTACTACGGACACACGCTGGGAGTGTGACAGAGGAATTGCCATTAAAATGCGGGGGACTGCACGTTTCCTGCCTACCTAGTGAAGATGGTCTGGGGGGTGGGGGGAGCTCGGGAGGACCCGGCAGAGGCACAGGAGCAGAGAGACATGTGAAAAGGAAAGCTTCGCTTGCCTCTCAGATCTGGACTTGCACCTGGGGCTTGGGGGACTGGGAAGGAGAGACATGGAGTTGAGAGATGTCAAGACACTGGAAGAGATGTGGTTGAGCTACTCATGGGGAAGCTGATATGGCAGCTGTCACCTTGATTTGTGCTTTGATTTTGCTTTTTGTCTTCTTGTTCCCCTTTCCTATGGCTTCCTGCCAGAAGGTGGCAAGCTTTTGGAACTCAGAGATCCCCTTTATTGTCTACTCAGTTAAATAAATGAACAATTGTGTTGCTTTCTCCACCATCCCCTTTTTAGGTTTATCCTTTAATGCTCAAAATCTCCTCTGTACTCTGGCCATACCATTCCCCCACAAGCTCCCACAAACTAGGACAACAGCCAGTACCTCCATGGGGGTGAGGGAACTCCTGGCTCTCACCACCCTTAACAGTCCCTGGAGAAGGGCCTCCTGGCGAGCCCCCTGCCACCTCTCCCAGGGGTTAAGTTCCTCCTGCTGGCTCTCGCCTACCAGGAGGACTAGCACCTGCTGTCAAGGTGAGTGCCCACACCCACTCCCCTTGGCACCTGTTTCCTTGACTCAAGTGCTGTCCTGCAACCTTAGTTCTCTGCTGGACTCAAGGAAGCTGTGTTTATGTGGGTTTCTTGTTGCTATTTGCTGTGAGGGTGGTGGAAATGCACCATCTGACTTCTGACCTACAGAGCTGTGCACTAACAAACAGGTGGTAGGTTAAACCACTAAGTTTGTGGCAACTGGCTACATGCAATAGGAAACATTACAGTAACCAATGTGAACTCATAATATTTTTATTATGCAAGAAATACCCAAATACACTGTCCTGACAAAAAGTAAAATACTATGACTGATTCCCTCTCCAGAGTTAGCCACTGTTATTAATTTAGAATGATTCCTAGATCTTTTTAAAGGGTGGCTAAAACATGGTTGATCTCCTTATTTTGCCATTTGACAGCTGTATAACTCTGGGCAATTTGTTTGCCTGGAGCAGTTGATGGACTGGGTGAGTTTATACAGGAACAGGGCTCAGCAGGGCCAGCACATAACAATTGCTGGGAAAATGTCCATGATGACAGTCGAGCATCTGCACACATGTAGGACCCAAGTGTAACATGTGGTGAGTGGGTTTCCTTTTTTGAGTGGTGTGTTAGACTGAAGGTAAGTTTAATTGGTCTTTCCAGGATTCTGTTCTCCATGGGGGCTCCTGACTTTTATTGAGCTTGAATAAACTAGTTTTCCTCTTTGGTAGACTTTGAAAGCAGTTGGCAGGTGACTCAGGATCTTTCCACACTCTGGGTTTCAGGGGTGAAGGAAGTTCCCAGTGTCAGCCAGTGCCGTTCATGGGACCAGGCCCCTGGGCACAGAGTTGCAGAAGCTGAGGGATGGATCGGTTCTCCCCAGAACAGAGCCAGCCATCTCCTGGAATGTGTCTGTCATTTGTACAAGTAGTAAGATTCCACCAGGGTAGTTACAAAATGCTTCATGGGGACTGGGACCAAATTCTCATTACCAACTAAGGAGCCCAGTGGCAGCCAGGGAGAGGCACTCTCTCAGTGTTAAGCCATTTTGACTCTGATGTTTTCCATTGGCCGGGATGAACTGAGAACATGGTTTTGTTAATGAAATCAGGCAGTGCTAGCTTCGTGCTTGGGTTCTGATCCTCAGCTGTGAGATGCAGGTCTAGAATTATTGCCGTAGGCCCCTGTAGGGGGCTGGTGTGTGGCCTTTACAAGAGAAGGAACCGTTTTCAGAGAAGGGACCAGGACATACAGGACATGTGAACTGCTGAATGTGCCCAGTACTGCCCGGGCCCCTGGAGCTGGCTAAGAGGTGAGGCAAAGTGACAACACAGCGACTCTGGGCGGTACCTGATCCCAGTTCCCTCCCTATAAACTCTGACTTGGGCGTTTGCTGAGACTTGGCAGGCTGGAGTGAAGCAGGAGTGTTGCTCTCTATTCATAAATCATAAATCTGATAACGGATGGGTGTCTTCACCTAAACCCTCAGGTGCATAGCTCTTGGCTGCAGGAGGACCGGAGCTGCCACCCAATCTCCTGTTCTGCCTGTGTACGGTGCTCCTGGGAGGGCGAGCCCGGGGTCCAAGAAGGGCAGGAACGGGAGCAGGCAGATGTGGACATCATGATTCAGACAAGAGCAGCCCATACTAAGTGTGGGGTGGGTTCTCTCCTTTTGGCGCTGGCTGTCAACACCATGCTGTCTAGTTATTCTACCATCTGGCTTGGCCTTGGGTTTCAGCCTCCATACCTTCACATGAAGGCTAGGCCAAGAGGGTTTTTATTAAATTACATTTTGAGATCATTTAGATCCCATGCAGTTCTAAGAAACTGCAAAAGCGGCCCCAGGTACCCTTATTGGTCCCTCCCAAACTTGAAAAAATAATGTAACGCCATACCAGGATCTGCTGTGATCTGGCCCAGATCAGAACAAGTCAATCCCACAAACACCCCTCCTGCCTCCCCCACCCCTCCTAATCCCTGCATCATTAGGTGTGTTCTCCATTGTTACTATTTTGTCATTTCAAGAACAATTTATGCATGGAATAGTGCAGTATATAACCTTTTGGCTAGCTTTCCTCTCCGTTATAGATTCACCCAGGCTGCTGCAGCATCAACAGCTGGCTCTTTTCTATTGCTGAGCAGTGTCCAGCATTTGGATGGACCACAGCTGTTCCACCACCACCACCCTGCTGAAGAACATCTGGATTGATTCCAGCTTAACAAGATGACGAATGAAGCTGCTGCTAGCATGTAGATACAGGTGTGGGTGAATGTTTCTGTATCTCTGGGATTAATGCCCTAGAGTGTTTCCTGGCCTATTCTGGATTGGCCGTTCTGTTTTCTAAGAAATTGCCAGCATGTTTTCGAGAGGGCCGTATCAATTTATTCTCCTATGTTTTACATTTTGATTTCCTGATCCAGAGGACACACGGACCCACTGAAAGTGTCTGAGACTAAGTTTGCTTCAGATGCAGCCAGACACCCCCAGGCCCAGGCAGATGAGGCAGTTGTGCACCACCCCTGTGGACCCAGGACTTGGCTGGCCCCACCAAGGCCAGCCTGTCCCCCTTCTCGTCCAAGGGCAGTGGGCAGCCTGATGTCCCCTGAGTCATTTCAGAGCTATAGGTGTTGCTTTGAAGGAAAAAGTTTTGGAGGAAGACTATCCAGGTTACTTACATGGCTGATGGCAGGAATTCTTCAGGCTATTCATGGCAAGGCCTTTCAGTGACAAGACTGCTGTAAAACAAAGCACCCCTCACTTTCTTTTCCTAAAATCCCCTACCCTGACTTCTCTTTTGCATCCACCCACCTATACATGGAGCTGAAGCTTTGGAAACAGAGGATACCAGTAAAGCAGTGATTTAGCTACAAGAAATGCTCTCCCAGGAACACCAGCCCTTGGCCCCAAGCTCACAGGGGCCCTATTACATGGCAGGCCTGGCACCCCCACCCCCACCCCCCCAACTGGAACCAATGCCAGGGCCCCTGAGGAGGAACACTTCTGGGCTGTGACAATGTGTTTAGAATCTGGTTCTGGAGAAAATGTTGGCCTCTGTGCCTCTCTGAAGGCTCTGACCCAGTGCCCAGGCAGCAACACTGCTGCAGGGCCTCACCAATGGGGTGGGGAGGAGGAAGGGGGGGAGCAGGACTGAGCCAGGCTGCAGACCTGGAAGCAAAGACAGCCAGGCTGTACACCCTGGACACTCTGTCCCTTCTGTGAGCTCAGATTCTGAGCCCGCTCTCTCTAGCCCCTGGGGCCCAGAGGTTCTGAGCAATGTCCTCCAGCACAGGGGGTGAGCTGTGGGACCAAACAGCTCTGCCCTGAACCCTGGTGCACAGCAGGAAGTGTGGCCAGGTGCTGGCAGAGTAAGCCAGGGCAAGTGCAGTGCTCAGCCTCACCAGCCACCTAGAACTCCGCTTCCTCCCCAGTCGGTCCAGCGGGTCACCGAGACTGCTCCACTCCCCTCACTCTCCAGCAGCAGCTTTACCCATGACTGGGGCCTCCCCCGCGCCCGGATTGGATGTCAGGGACGGGTGGGGGCGGGCCAGGGGACCCCAGAAACCTAGGTTCCCAGCTCTGGTGGACGGCATTGTCGGTGTGGAAGCTGCTGGCCTGTGGCAGAGGGACCTGCGTGCTCACAGACCTGGCGGGCCGCGTGGAGGAGGTAGCAGCTGCGGAGTTGAGCCGGCTGGCAGGCACTGGGCAGGCAGGCGAGGATGTTTGATAGTTCGCAGTACCCCTATAATTGCTTCAATTACGATGCGGACTACCCCGCCGGCAGCTCTGAGGAAGAGAAGCGGCTCACGAGGCCCGCATACAGGTGACCACGTTGCTGGGCAGCAGGGTTGGGGTGGGAGCAGAAACTTCCTCCACAGGGGTCTCAAACAACCGGATGTGCCTGGGGAGGTGGGAGGGGAAGGGACCTTCTTGCTGGCAGGGATCCGAGCAGAAATCGGCTGGCACTCGTGTTTCTGGACAGTTGGAGAAGCTTCTCCCAACCCCTTTTCGGAACCTCCAAGTGCGAGCCAGAGGTCTGGGGTCTCAGTACAAAAAGGGGGGCGGGCAGGCAGAGAGCTGCCCTGCTGCTCTCCACCTCCAACACCCAAGGCGTCCTGGGGAAGGGGAAGGGGAAGGGATATCGCGGTTTGCTTCCGGGCTCGGGGAAGGGCTGATCTCGGGCTGATACTCAGAAGCTCCGCGGGCCGCTCCTCCCCAGGGGCAGGCTTGACTCGCCTGCGTTTGCAGCTACATCGCCCTGATCGCCATGGCCATTCAGCAGAGCCCAGCGGGCAGGGTTACCCTGTCGGGCATCTACGACTTCATCATGCGCAAATTCCCCTACTACCGTGCCAACCAGCGTGCCTGGCAGAACTCCATTCGTCACAACCTGTCCCTCAACAGTTGCTTCATCAAGGTGAGCCCCCTTCCCATACCCCGGGATGGCTTGGTGATTCTGGCCCAAGTCTCCCTGCCTGGTGGTGGTGGGGTATCGAGTTCGTAGCTGCTGGAAAGTTCTGAGCACTGTGGGTGGCATCCACCTGCTTAGCCAGCAAGCACTACCCCAAAGGAAGGGTGAGCTTCCTGCCAGGGACAGGTCCCAAGTGAGCCCTGAGGCCGCCGAGGGGCTCAGCTGGAGCCGGTCCCTCACTGAGATCCTGTCGCAGGTGCCGCGGACCGAGGGCCAGGAGAAGGGCAAGGGAAACTACTGGACGTTCGCTGGCGGCTGCGAGTCGCTGCTGGACCTTTTCGAAAACGGCAATTACCGGCGCCGGCGCCGGCGGCGCGGTCCGAAACGGGAGGCGCCACAGCGCGCACCGGTAGGAGCCTCCGAAGGGCCCCCGGGTCCTGGGGAGCCCGACAGCTTGCGGGACTCCCCTACTCTCCGAGAGCCTCCGCCCTCCACCAGGCCTGCTGAGCCCGGAACGGAGGAGCACAGGGACATCAAGTTCAGCATTGACTACATCCTCTCTGCCCCTGACCCCTTTCCTGGGCTCAAGGTACCCTATGGCACTCCGGGGGGCGGATATCCCCAGCTGGAGGCCCAACAAGTGAACCTCCACTTTTGGACTTTGTGAGAGAGGGAGCTCAGGCTGTTCGCAGCCCCGGCCGGGGCTTGGGCAGCCGGTCTATCAATCTAGGGTTTTCCAGTCATTTCAGTCCCATCTGGATTCAGCCAAGAAGCAAGGTTTTGCCACACCATACAAACGTCTTCCACAGGCCCACACTGTGCTGAAAGCATCCTGGGTTGGAGGGAAAGGAGAATTCCATCTTGTGACAGGTACCCACTGCAGAATTGTGGTTTCATCTTTTCATAAAAGAAGTTCCCTAGCAGGGCCATCCAGAGGTTCCTGTTTTACTCAAGGGTCTGTTTAGATCCACCTAGTGTTCCTGCTTGAGGAATAAGAACGGCAGACTCAGGGTCACTCACACTCACAGTCAAGGTAACATTCCATTCTTCAGTGTCTGGAAATTTGCTTCACAGATAGCCTCGCCCAGAAGCAGCCAGTGAGCTCAGAGATATGTGGTGAAGTTGGTGGGTCTCTTCCCTATAGCTAAAAATAAAAATAAAGAGCAGATGCTGAAGCCAGATATTAAGTGATCCCATGAATGTTGGTATGAAAACCCCCAACATTTTTGAATATTTTCCTGTTACGGGTGATGTGATTGAAAGTGACAAATGTGTCTTCTGTTGTGGGCAGAATATTTTATGACTCTTTAAGAAATTCCATGCACTTTTTTAATAGAGGAAAGAAGGTTGGGGAGGGAGGGGTCCAAATCTGGGGCAAAGTATACTTTTCCTGGTTCTTCTGAGCAGAGAGAAAGCACCGTTGTGTGTGTCCCATCCAGCTGGTTTCCAGAGAAAGCAGACAGCTCGTAGCGAACGGCTGATCAATCCCTGCAGCCTGGGAGGTGTACAGTTAGGAAGCACAAAATTACAAGCGTTGGAGGTGGGTACACTCCATTTGAAATGTAAATGATTTAATTACTGTGTAGAGACGGGCATTTTAAAAAACACAATTATGCACAGTGAAACTATTTGACCAACCTTATCATTTTTCACCAGCCCATTTTTGCAGAGTTAATTGCTTTCCGTGACTTAATTTGAACATTAGTATGGATTACACCTAATCTGATTTGCTAGGTGACAATGATTGGCTAATTTTGTAAACAGCAAAAACACACCCAACCAGGCTGGCTGTCTTGCCTGGGAATTACATAAACTTGCTTTAATGCTCGCTTAGAAGCAGGGATAGAATTTATAAAAGCAGGTGGGCAGCAGGGACAGACTGACCACACAGAAGACTCCCTTAGACCTGGTTTTGCTTCTGACCAGGAGCCTTACCTCATCCTTCCACTGCAGTATTCCTTATTTCACCTTCCCCATAAATAGAAATCCTGCATGTTCCTTTAATAGGTTTGAGAGGAAAGAGAACCTTACAAATGTGTAAACTGCTGGTCCCAATCTCTGGGAACAAGCACAGGTGGTGATGTGCCCACTCCCTCCTGGCCTGGCCAGGCCCTGCCACCTCCCGGGAGGAGAGGAGCCCTTTCCCAGTCACCTCTCCTGAAGCAGGTCTGAGTCCAGCAGTGGTGAAACACCTCTTTCTGGCAAATGCAGCCATCAGATTTCTCTCCTGTGCGGGCGCTAGCTGTCCACTGGGCATGCTGCTGCGACCCCAGGAGCAGCTACTTTCTTGGTGGGTATGCCAGCCCTGGGCAGTGGGTGCTGTTGTTCCTAGTTTACAGATGGGACCGAGAATGTGGGGGTGTGACTCTGGAGGCGGCTTCTAAACCTCCCTATGCTCTTGCAGGACCAGGCTGGCGTGTGCATGTGTGTGTTGTAGGTAAATGTTGCTATCTGCACTCCTATTATTTATACCCCTTTGCTGGAGTCATTTTAAATTATACTAGAAATAAGTTAGGTGGTGATATGATGCAGGTGCGCTATACATGAATCTGGCATATAGACTATCTGAAGGTATATATTTTCTGCTGCCACCTGAGCAAATAAAATTTGCATTTTACTTTTTGGTTCCTGCTTTATCCCTCTGTTTCTTTCTGTTGAGCAAAGTCTGATGGCAAAGAAAAAGTGCCTTTGCCCTACATGGGGCATTCTTTGGAGGCCTGGCCTTGGAGAGGCCTTGGAAGGAGATGAGTTTGGGTTGGCCCTCCCTGTGCATGCATTCCTGGGCAAACGCCCACGGCTGCTGGCCAGCACGGCTGGCACCAGGGGGGTGAGAGCTGTGTACTATGAGGTGTAACATTTGTTTTGTAAAGGATATCAATCATGTTTTTAAAAGCAAAGGGACATTTTCAATTTGCCAGCATGTGATATCCTGCGACTTCAGAAGGGCTCCCAGCCCTTAGAGTGAGTGGCATTTAATACCAAGTACACAGCAGGGTGAGGGCTGGCTCTGACCTATTCAAATGTCGCCGCCACCATGCAGACTTGCCCAATGCAATTATAATTAAATACTTTATGCCTCTCTTGCAAATCCGCTGATTGATCACCGATATGTACATTACCACCACATTACCCCCGAGCAGATGTCTGCCACACTCGGTTATGGATCACCAGGTTTCCATTAACAAAGTTGGGAAGCGCTGCCATGTGGGGGTTCAGGGGAGATGTGTGCAAATTCTGTCATGCGGGACAGAAGGTTCCTGGGCTGGGATGCAGAGGGCCTGAGTGCCTTCTCCCCAGCCACCCAGGGACTGTGTGGGGGGGTGTCCTGTTCACCAGCGGGGTCCCCAGAGGAGCTGGCTGCTGCAGGAGAAAGGGTGACACTAACGTCCTGAAGGAGGGTGGGGCACCAACTCACTTTCATCCTTCCCAAGGAGGAGGAGGCTGCGGGGTGCAGCCTGGATGGGTCTGTGAGTACTCACTGGCCTGGTCTGGTGCCTCTTGGCCCCCAGGTGGGTCGGCGGGATCCAGCATCACCAGATCTCTCTAGAGTAGCCTCCCTTGACTGATGGCAAGTGCCTTTCCTTACCACGCGGAATGAGGACTCCTGGATGCCACCATCAGTTCTGGTGTTGGGGTGCAGGGGAACTTAGGGACCAGAGGCACAGTCTGCATTTCACTGTGGGTGCATGGGCAACAGGGATGTTGAGGTGAGGTGACTGGGGGAGTGGCAGGGGCAGGAGCTCTCTCACAGACCCCCCTCAGTTGAAGCCTGAGGCTGGGGAAAGAGGAAAGAGCATTCTAGACTGTAGGATGGTGATGGAGCTCCTGTGGAAGGGTGGTGGGGAAGGGAAGCTTGCACAATGAACTGGAAAGCCAGTGTGGCCAGAAGCAGAAATGAATGGAGCTGTGGTCTCTCACCCCCAAGTGCAGGACAAACTTCCATTCCTGTTTGGTCTTTGAAGTGTGTCTCTTGCATTGGCATCAGTTTGTTAAGATTCTTTCTGAAATGAAGAAGTCCTGAAGGACAGTCATCTCCCATGTTCTGGGCACTTTGTCTTGGTTAATGTGGCCTTTCTTCCTGACCTGCACTTCCTATGCTCCTAATACTGACTTCAGGGCCCTGAGACCCAAATGTAGGTGCTGGCTGGGTGGATGATGTGATGAAGATGGTGTGCAGAGGGTGGAAGGGGTCTCCAGAATCCCTTCAACATCGGTCTTTCTTGGAATAGTTCAGGCCTTGGTCAGCCTATCTCAGACTGACCTGGAGGCCTATGGTGGCCCTCAGCTCTGTGCAACAGTCTTGGCCTCCCTGGGGCATGAAGCTAGGGGTCTTGTGCATCCTCAGACAGACCATCTGCCCACTAGAGCCTTAGATCCCTCGTTGTAATGTGGTCTGCTGATAGCTCCACTCTGGGCTTCGCTGAGAAGCCAAGGGCTGGGCTGGCAGGCCCTGGACCAGGTTATGTTCCCATCTCGTAGCCCCCATCCTTGATCCTGGCTCTAGGGCCCCAGCAAAGGAGGCAGAGAGAGGGTTGGTTGCCTAGCGAGAGGGCATCCCATGGGAACCTGTAGCTACCTTTCTAGGAACAGCCTACAGGTTATCTGCTCTTTGCCTGAAACCTGTTGTGAGCCCTTGGCAGTGCCAGCTTTCTGTGATCAGGGCCTAGGCCACCTGCAGGTGCTAGAGAGAGAGGGGCAGCCCAACATCCCATGTTTGCAGCTCCTTCAGTGATTCTTCTCTGTGGCTGGGCTCCCTCTGAAGTTCCTCAGTTTCCAGCCTCCCCCAATCAAGGCCAGACCCCAGGCTGTATGGGTACAGACCAAACAAGATGAACGAATTTATCTTGATGCCAAGAACCCTGGAATCTCATAAACATTCTAAATTGGGAACCCAAACAGTCTTCTTTCTCACACAGAGAATGAAACCGAAGATAAGCACTAAGCTAATGGAGAGGTTTGAGTCCGTGTGGGCTGCTGTCTTAATGGGCCTGGGGGTGCCTGACCCTAGGGTTCTGCCTAGAGTTGGGGGGTCTGCCTGGGTACACAGGGATCCCAGGACATTTGCAGCCACTGGGCCCTGCCTGGGCCAGGCCCACCCCTCCTGGAATTCTCTGCCCTTGGCCTCTGGGCCCCTTCCATGGCAGTGATCCAATTCGGTGGGTGTTTATTGTTTTCTGTCCTGGCCTTTGACCTAGTTCTTTTGAAATCACTTGCCAGCACCCAGGTGAGCACAGGATTCCAACCTTGGCTTCAGCAGACTTTGGGGTACACTCTGGGATGTACTTTGGGGTGCCCACTGTATGTCCTTGTTTGTGGGTGCAAAGCCAGGCGCATCTTCCTTTAGGTGCCATTAGGAATCAAGGAAGCCACCTGGCACATCTCGGAGGGCCTCCCTGATCTTAGACCCCAGCCGATGGAAAAGAAGTGGTGCAGGACCAGGAGGGGCAGTGTGGGGACCCCTCAGCTCCACAGAGTCACAGCTCTCCTGGTGAGGGCCCCTGACATAGAAACCATCAAAGCTGGATCTAAAGAGCTTGGTGTTGTTTTACAGAACCTTCCCATCTCTTCCCACTGGTCCTGCCTTATACTCCAGGTTCTCTGCCCTGGAAGCTCCAGCAGCTGTGAGCAGAGGCTGCGAAGTAAGAACCCATTTCACAGATGAGGAGG